ACTGAGAAGTTTAAAGCAGTATAAAACCCAAAAATCAAAATGTATTATATTGCAGCCTGCCAATTGTAAGATGTGGTAACTGCAATAGCTTTCTTTTTTTTAGGCTTTTTTTCTTTATTTTCATTTGTTGATCTTGGCAGTAAGTCTATTGTGATTCTACAGACCAAAATGTCCAGAAAAAGCAACAGAGGGTTGAGGCAAACCATTTAACACTGACGGCGAAGCTTACAATGACCAACATTTATTTATGAACAACCTTTATCTCAAAAGTTAAAAAAAAAAAAAACTGTAATTGTAAGACTGTGTAAGCAGGAGTTTGCCTTTTTTTGTTAGTCAAGTCCATCTAAATCTGCTAGTCCATCTAACACTACCCTCTCCTCAAGGCAACAATGCTGCTTTCAAGGGTGTCTCCATTGCTCCTCCATCTTGAGTGGAGACACCTTAAGACAGGAAGTGTGTTACTGTCACCAGGTGAAAATAAAGATAAAAAAGCTTTAAGAAATAAAAACCTAACACAGCCACCACAATAAAAGATTGGTAAGCAGCAATATATTACATTTTTGGATTTTAAGTTTAATACCACTTTTAAGCTGGACTCCAGGCACTTTTAAAAGACCACCGTTTAATCCGGCCATTATTAAAAATCTGTGTTTATAAAAATTTACTGTATTCCCTTCACAGGTGAAAGGGCAGATGTAAGGAAGATGCTTGCCACAGTGCAGCTGAAGCCTCTGGGCTTGAACAGCGACACAGGCGCAGATGTGCGAAGGCCCATTCTGCTGTGCATAGTCTGCATAGTCGTGAGAATTTGCGTTCACAGATGCCTGCACCTGCGACTGCCCATTGCTAATGTTGGCGCCAATTAGACTATTTAAACCAGCAGCACTATTAGCCTGTGCTGTCTGATCTCCCCCTCCTGTATTCCTGTTCCTGTGAGTGATACCTGTGATTGACCCCGGCTTGCTTTTCAGACTCCGTCTGTCTTTTGTCTCTGCTTGATCTGCTCCCACCATTACTGACCTTGGCCTGTGACCCGACTGTTCTTCTGCCCGGCCTGTCTGACCCAACATACAGCGTGCTACCCTGCTCTTCAACCAACCTGTTCTGCTGTAATGTCTACCTGCTATCAGCCTGCTCCGCTGCCATCCTGCTCTGCTACTAGCCTACTCCGCTGCCATCCTGCTCTGCTACTAGCCTACTCCGCTGCCAGCCTGCTCTGCTACTAGCCTACTCCGCTGCCAGCCTGCTCTGCTACTAGCCTACTCTGTTGCCAGCCTGCTCTGCTACTAGCCTGTTCCACTGCCAGCCTGCTCTGCTACTAGCCTACTCCGCTGCCATCCTGCTCTGCTACTAGCCTACTCCGCTGCCAGCCTGCTCTGCTACTAGCCTACTCCGCTGCCAGCCTGCTCTGCTACTAGCCTGCTCCACTGCCAGCCTCCTCTGCTACCAGCCTGCTCTGCTACTAGCCTGCTCCACTGCCAGCCTGCTCTGCTACTAGCCTACTCCGCTGCCAGCCTGCTCTGCTACTAGCCTGCTCCACTGCCAGCCTGCTCCGCTACCAGCCTGCTCTGCTACTAGCCTGCTCCACTGCCAGCCTGCTCTGCTACTAGCCTACTCCACTGCCATCCTGCTCTGCTACTAGCCTACTCAGCTGCCAGCCTGCTCTGCTACTAGCCTGCTCCACTGCCAGCCTGCTCTGCTACAAGCCTGCGCTGCTACTAGCCTACTCCGCTGCCAGCCTGCTCTGCTACCAGCCTGTTCCACTGCCAGCCTGCTCTGCTACTAGCCTACTCCGCTGCCATCCTGCTCTGCTACTAGCCTACTCCGCTGCCAGCCTGCTCTGCTACTAGCCTACTCCGCTGCCAGCCTGCTCTGCTACTAGTCTGCTCCACTGCCAGCCTGCTCCGCTACCAGCCTGCTCTGCTACTAGCCTGCTCCACTGCCAGCCTGCTCCGCTACCAGCCTGCTCTGCTACCAGCCTGCTCCGCTGCCAGCCTGCTCTGCTACCAGCCTGCTCTGCTACCATCCTGATCAACTGCCAGCCTACTCCGCTACCAGCCTGCTCTGCTACCAGCCTGCTCTGCTACCAGCCTGCTCCGCTACCAGCCTGCTCTGCTACCAGCCTGCTCCACTGCCAGCCTGCTCTGCTACCAGCCTGCTCCGCTACCATCCTGAACTGCTACCAGCCTGCTCCACTGCCAGCCTGCTCTGCTACTAGCCTGCTCCACTGCCAGCCTGCTCTGTTGCCAGCCTGCTCCACTGCCAGCCTGCTCTGCTACTAGCCTGCCCCGCTGTAATGTCTGCCTGCTACCAGCCTGCTCCACTACCAGCCTGCCCAGCTGTCCCATCTGCCAGCAAAATGCCAACAATTCCTGCACAGACTACAGGACTGACCAGGCACTCATATCCTGCAGTGTTCTTATAGTTGCTGTTCCACCTTCAGTGGCCTTTGAGCCGGAGCTGTACGAGAGGCCTTCCTCTGCTGTCAGTCTCACAGGCAAGGTAAGTGACAGCAGCACTTAGCTTCAATCATAATCTAACATATACAGTAGTAACCTGCTATAGACATAATACTGAGAATTTGCTGACAGGATGAAAAAGAAGGATGATGAGTTTATTAGCTTGGTGGTGGTCTGCCATTGTGCAGTCAGCAGCCTAACCATGTGTGTGGGCTGGTAATGATGCTTTATTTGCAAGACTGGCTGACCATCAATACAAGTTTTGACAGGTAAGCAGTCCCCACAAATGTTTTTAAACTATATGTTTAGATTTTAATTAAAGTTAAAGTTTATCTAAACCCAGTTATTTATATTTTTCAGGGAGCCATGCTTTTCAGGTTCTACTTTCCCACCTTTGGGCTTGAGACTCACATGGCGAGTGTCACTGGGTGGAGGGGAGGAGGGAGACTAGTGAACATCCATTTGCTGATCTCCCCTAGCTAGAATGAACCTGGAAGCAACATGTCAAATGTCACTTCTGGTTTCTGATGTCCCTTTTCCCCTAGTCCTAAGGAAGAAGCTAATGGAGCATAATCTGCTTTCAGTAAATATATCATGTTTGGGGGGTTTTAACTAATTCTCAGGCCCAAAATGATTTATAAGAGGTGGGTAAAAAAATAAAAGGAAGGAATGGTTACCAGAGAAAACTCCCCTCCCGTCCTCCAAATGAAAGACAGAAATGCCCATGAAGACTCCTGGGTTGTATGGCACAATTTTGGCATGGCCAAAAACCAGGAAGCAACTGAAGAAATTTAAAAAAAGTTTAAAACAAGCAAATATAATATTATTGTTATTATACAGGATTGTATAGTGCAAACAGTTTGCACAGCATTTTAGAATGTAAAGGGAGACAGTACAATTACAATACAATAAAATACAAGAGGGTAAAAAGGCTCTGCTTATAAGAGCTTACAATCTAATAGGGTGGGGCAAGTGGTACAAAAGCTTATAACTGTGGAGAATGAGTTGATGGAAGTGATAAAAGTTTAGGTGTGATAGGCCTTTAGGTGGAGGTGTGATAGGCTTCCCTGAAGAGATGAGTTTTCAGGGATCACCTAAAGGCAGCTAGAGTAGGAATAAAGCTGGACAGATTGATATAGAGAGTTCCAGAGGATGAAAGAGGCTCTGGATAAGTCCTGGAAATTAGCATGAGAGGAGGAAACAAAGGAGCTAGAGAGCCGGAGAGGTCTAGAGAGGAGTAGAGAGGAGGGTTTGGGTGATATTTGGAGACAAGATTGGTGATGTAGCATGGGGTAGAGTTTTGAATGGCTTTGTATGTTGTTGTTAGTATTTTGAATTTAATTCACTGTGGTGGCAGACATGGGTTGGTAAAGTGGATGAGTCTGGCAGCAGCTTTCATGATAGACTGAAGAGGGGATAGCCTATGGAGAAGAAGGCCTATGAGAAGGGAGTTGCAATAGTCAAGCCAAGAGATAACAAGGGAGTAAATGAGTAGCTTGATGGTTTCATTAATTAAAAAGGGGCAGAATATACAGTACCTTCCTATCTATTTACTAATTTTAGCAGCATAAGGATTAAATATAAGTAATGGTAATTGATATTTTAGTTCTACTTTAAGCTTAAAGTGAACCTTCATACCTCCCATAAGGGACTCCAATATTTAGATCAGTCATCTCTAATGCTGATGTTCAAAATCCTGGATGAAAACAGCAAACTCAGCTTCCAAGCTTTACTTCTGGCCCACCTCCTCCCACCTCCACACCTTCTTAGTGTCCACCAAATGTGATGGACTACCTCAGTGGCTGTAAGTTCAACCAGGAACCCATACTTGATATTTGCACCTAGGGTTTTGGGGAAACGTAGGGTGCAATGAAGACCAACTAAGGCTATGAGCAGGCACCTGGATACAATTGTTCTAAAGATCAGGTGCACTTCTTGGATACCACCAATGTCCCTGTCACAGGTTTATATTAATCTTTTCCAACAGAGGAGAGTTCTCAACATATTTAGATCTTAGAAGGGTATAGAACGTTAGAACTGTGCTTAATTTCTGAAATTTTTACACTGGAATTGTTTAACCACATGCCGCCCAGCCACTGTAGAAATATGTTGGCAGGGCGGCACGGCTGGGCAAAACCACGTTTTAAAACGTGTGTTTGCAAAACAGGTAGGGGGCGCGTGCGAGGCGCTCCACCGCCCTACCTGTCCCGCTGATCACAGCCGTGGATGTCAGTCGCCAGGTCACAGCCAGTCGTTACCGGCTGTGTCCCGCCGATTAGCGGCAATCACTGACAGAGAGCAGGGCTGCAGTAGCTCTGCTTTCTGTCAGTTCCCTGTCAGCTCCTGACATGCTGAGCCGGAGAGAAGAGTTTATGTCTCCCAATCAGCTGCCCCCCCCCCCCCCCCCACCGTGCAGTACACACCCCCGCCCCCTAGTAAAAACACTCCCCTCACACAGTTAACCCTTTCAGTAAATAAAAAAGTTAACCCCTTCCTCCCCATAGCCATTAGTACAGTGTCAGTGGGTTTTTTTTGCACTGATCACTGTATTGGTGTCACTGGGGATGTCAGTGACCACAAGTCAGTTCCCCCCCCAGTGTCAGAATGTCCGTCACAGTCCCTCAGTCCCGCCATAAGTCGCTGATCGCCGCCATAAGTCACTGTTCGCCGCCATAAGTCGCTGATCGCCGCCATTATTAGTATAAAAAAAAAAAAATTAAAAATCCCAGTATCCCATTTGTAAACACTAAAACTTTCATGTAAACCAATTAATTTACATGCATTGGGGTTTTTTTTTTAGCAAAGACATGTCGCAGAATGCATTTTGGCCGAAATTTATGACGAAATTTGATTTTTACATTTTTTTACTGTACATGTTTTATAGCAAAAAGTCCAAAATATTGTTTTTTCTTTCTCAAAATTGTCAGCCTTTTTTTTTTTTTATAGAGCAAAAAATAAAAAAACGCACAGGCGATCAAATACCACCGAAAGAAAGCTCTATTTGTGTGAAAAAAATAACATAAATTTCATTTATGTACCGTATTGCATGACCGCACAATTGTCCATTAAACTAGTGCAGCGCTGTATAGCAAAAAAATGGCGTAAATTGCAGTATCTATACCATAGTTTGTAGATGCTATAACTTTCACACAAAGCAATCAATATACACTTATTTTTTTTTACCAAAAACATGTAGCAGAATACATTTTGGCCTAAATTTATAACTAACTTTGAGTTTACTATATATTTCTTATAGCTGAAAGTAAAAATTATCGTTTTTCTTCAAAATTTTTGGTCTTTTTTTGTTTATAGCTTGAAAAATAAAAAGCGCACAGGTGATCAAATACCACCGAAAGAAAGCTTTATTTGTGTGAAAAAAAAGACGTAAATTAATTTGGGTGAAGCATTGCCAAAAGTAACCAATCAGATTTAAACCTCCAGGATAATTCCAGTTGACTGGCAGCTATGTGGCTAAATGAGACACTATGATAAAAACAGCCTATTGCATTTTTCTGTGTTGCTGAACTTATGGTATTGTATTCCAGCTTTCCATACTACATTCTCTGGATTTTGAGCATAGCATTTACTTTTACCTTGACCGCTTGCTTACTGATTGTTGTCCTAACACCATACATTTACTTCAATTTGTATGTCAGAATGTTTAAATCTGCTCCTGCTATAGATTTTATTCCTACATATTGATATTGCTGAATTCATATCACTCTTTTCATTAAACAGCTGTTTCACATGGACAAAATGTGTAGTTCTCTCTTCGCAATTAATCATTTATTTGCATTAAATTAACACCTACTATGTGTATTGCAATTTTTCTAAACTCACCATGTATGATGCTTATGAAACATTTTTTTAAATATACTTGAAATTACTGGTACACCTGGTGTTTATATGGTCCGGTTGTTGATGCCTTAAATATAGCACTTGTGGAAGCCAGAGTGTATATAAGCAAATCCAGGTAGCTCAACTGCCCAATCCATATACTTTCTCCCTGTGATAGAAGAAGTTATACCCTGTCAGAAGGTCTGACTCTACTCTAAAGTTGGCCATTCACATGGCAATTTGATAGGGTGATTGAATTTACATATAATTTTTTTTCTTAGAAACCACAAAGTGATAAAAGACATAAAACAGGTTTCAATTGACCACACAGATGGGATTACAATTATCCGAATTGAACCTGATAGAAAATTCTAATCGCTAATGATGAAATTGATGCAATTTTTTGTTGTTTTCTATCTTTTCTTTCAATAAACCTTTCAACTTATTCTTCAATTTCAACCCAACTGACTGAATTCCGGTATTAAGTAAAATTTGTGGATAATAGATTGCTTGATTTCTTTCAAGTATTTGTGATTGTATTTTCGATACTCAATAGATACAAACTAGTTGAAATTTACAAGATAATTTCCCAACTTTGGGGCCATGTTATTACTCACCAACAAAACAGCAGAGAAAGTTACTCACCTGCTTCAATGGTGTCGCTCCTTTGCTGATGGAAATGTTGAAAAATCATTGACACCAGTGTGAGAGCAAGGTCTTGCTCATCTGGCTAACAAAGAATCCATACCATGTAAATGGTTGAGTATAATTCTGCTCTGTATGGTGATCCTGTCGCTGCCTTATAAGCAACAACAGAATTGCAAGTGTGATGTAGACCAAAGATCCTGCATTAGACACCAGGAATATTATGGTCATCTCATTCATCTCAGCAGGCCTTCCTCATTAATTCAAGTGTTAATATTTAGGTAGTTAAAATGTTCTCAGATTTAAGAATCACAGGACAGGATTCACAGTTTCCTATGCTTGGTCTTTGTTGCTAATGTTCCTGCACTACTAACACCCTCTATCCCTTTACCTTCCAAAAAGGGACATCAAATAATGAACATTTATAAGGCCTTATGCACGCATAGCTATTCTGAATGCCTTTCTCCTGGCAGGAGAAAAAGTAGTATCAAAAAATGCACCTAAAGCCTAAAACTTGTTCAGGCACGTCAAGAGTTTTGCTGTTCATTCATTTAATTGGCCAGAATAGTAATTTATTCTGGCCATTGAAATGAATGAACGCTCAAACATTAAAGTAGAACTATAGGCAAAACTTGTTTTTTTTCCATATTGGATAGAGTAAGGGAGGGTTATAACTGCTGTCAGTTCATTTTTTGCCATCTGTATCACATTGGGGAGATCTACCTTCATTTCCTATCCCATAGCCAAAACAGGAAGTGAGAGATAATCCCCACAAATTAAGGGAATTCCTTGGGGACCCCTAGGTCACCAGAACTAGTGTCCCTTTTTTTGGGATAACCGTAAGTTTGGGGTTTTCTTTACTTCTACTTTCATTATTAACTGCTTCCCCATCCGCCCTATAGCAGAAATACTGCTACAGGGTGGCACAGGTGCACAAATTCACATATATATGTGATTTTGCAGTTCCACGTAGGGGGCACACGTGAGCCGTGCGTGCACCCTATCCACGCCACCATTCACGGACTCGGCTGTCAATTACCGGGTCCCGGCTGGTGATTACTTACCGGCACTCAGTGATTGGCGAGTATTACCGATGGGGGAGAGCACTGTATGCAAACAGTACAGTTCCCTCCCCTTTCAGCTCCTGCACACTGCTTTGTATGGATCTGCATAGCAGAACCATACAAAGCAGTGTGCTTACAGTGGAAAGCACACACACAGCACACAGTTAACTCTTTGCTCTCCCCAGATGTTAACCCCTTCCTGCCCAGTGCCATTAGTACAGTGTCAGTGCTTTTTATTAGCACTGAGCACTGCATTGGTGTCACTGGGGATGTCAGTGAGACCACATCAGTTCCCTCCAGTGTCAGAATGCCCGCCGCAGTCCTCCTATAAGTCGCTGATCTCCACCATTACTATTACAAGAAAAACAAATTCCAGTATATATACCATATACTGGATTTTTTGTAAATGCTATAACTTTCATGTAAACCAATTAATTTACACGTATTGGGATTTTTTTAGGAAAGACATTTAGCAGAATACATTTTGGCCTAAAGTTATGGTGAAATTTGAATTTTAACATTTTTTTTATTGGACATGTTTAATAGCAAAAAGTCAAAAATATTGTTTTTTTTCTCAAAATTGTTGGTCTTTTTTTGTTTAAGCTTAACAGATGTTGTAATCCATCTCCACTCTATCCAAAACTTTAGTCATACTTTAAACATGCCAAGCGTTTAGGCGTGTTTACACACGCTAGGGCACATCAGCCATTTTTTTCTGCCCAAACAATCCTCTCCTGAACACAATTTTGTTGCGTTCAGATTTCTGCCCTTAAAACGCTCCTACTTCAAAACATGGACATGTTGGCTAACATAGAGGGGTGTTTGTACCTCTAATCCATATCTCCTTGTCTTACAGAGCCTAATGGACAAGCTGGCACAGTTTTGTTGAAGTAGGAGCAGTTCACATAGACACATGTTATACAATGTATTATACTATTTAAAAAAATGGATGCCTTTTATCAACAAGCACATTAGAGAAAATATTTCTTAAGCCTCTGGCGCAGATACGTTATCATTATATCATATGGCTCTTTCATTCTTTCACAGTCACAAATTTGCTTCAGAGATAATTACTTTTAGAAAACAGAACTTGCCTCAAGATCCGGCTTGTAACATTTTGTTTTTCACATCAGCTATTCATTGATAAATGTTTTATTTCACTTGAAATCAGTAAACCAGGAAAACAACTCTGGAAATCTTAAATTAGGCTTTGCCATGGATCCACCATGCAAGTGAAAATTATATTATTAGCTACATTTATTTAGGGATGTAATATTAGGGCTCATGTACACGGGGCGTTTGGAAAACTCTTTTGAATGATGGAAACTGACTTCTGGAAAACCTAGGTTAAAAAACATCAGTTTAGCTGCGTTTGCATACCGCGTTTATGCGCGTTTATGTGCATTTGCGTTTAAAAGATAACCCCAGGAGACCTTCCAAAATGCCCATAATGCGCTGAAAAATAGTAAAAAATTAATTATTTCAGACATTTTGAGAGGAATAGAGAGAGCAGAAGCAGAGAGAGTAGTATATATTGAGATGACCTGTCTTTTCTGGTTGTATTCACTATGGATCCCATCATGAGCATAATGCAGCACGTTCTACCATTTTTTCCTTCATGCGAAACCTGGAACTGACTGCACTGGTGTACTAGGATCATTTGAACACATGGAAAATGCTTTGCATACATTTCTGATGATGAAAAAAGACTCTGGACAGCATCTGGACATGGAACAGTTAAAAATTTTTCTAAACGCAAACGCTTATTAACAAGGTTAACCGCATTTACAAGTATTTCCACGCCGGTAAAATCTACTCCTGAATGCAAGTTTGGTGCGTTCAAAAAAACAACTGTAAACTCAACTGGCTGTAAACAACTAAATGTACATGGACACATAGGAAAACATTAGGGAGAGTTCAGGGGCTGCTGAAAAAAATGCTGAACAGCTCCTGAACGTCAGTTTAGAAGCTGCAGCGTACATGAGCCCTTAAAGACCAATACCTGCAAAAACATGTTGTTTTGGATAGAGCTGGGAAGGGTTAGAACTTCTGCTCTCCACTGTCAGAACCAGCATATGGGCAGCTGGACCAAAGCATAATATAATGGAGCCTCTCAAACCAAAAAACAGCTATTGTGGAGTGCACCTTCCCAATTGTGCAGTTCCAGTATGGTAGCATCAGGGCTGCTGCTTGTTAGAAACCACAGGCCCCAAAAAAACCTATGCTATGGGTCAGTTATGAATGAACACAGTGAGTGATCGGTAACAATCACACATTGTGTTCATTCAGGAAAAGAAGAGTTGGTAAATGTGACATAGTTACCTTTCCCCCACTCTCCATTATGAAGGATCCTGTTGTGTGCTTGCTGTTCTTGGTGGGCAAGAGAGGAGGGAAGCTGGCAGTACTGCGGTGGGGGCCTGAGCAGCAGGGGGTAATGTATGGAGCACAGGGAGGGTGATGGGTGCGGCAAGGGGGGCAATTACTGAAACCAATCCCTTGTTTGCTTCTCTCTACTGCAGCTGAAAGCCAAAGGGTGATTGTCTCCAATAATTGCCCCCCCATCATGTCGATCACCCTCCATTCCCACATCCAATTCACCCAGCTGCCTGGGCCCCCCTGCTGGCCTGGGCCCCATACAGGAGACCTGGTGGTACCCCCTTATCCATGGCCCTGGGTGCTGTTTTTTCCTCAACCTTGGATCCCTCCAGCTGTCCACCTGTGTTACCAGAGCTACCCTGGAGTTGCCTGAGAGAGATTCTGTGTATGGGAATTGCATGTAGCTGTGTTCCATACTGTTTTACTGAAATAGTGATTCTCAGCTTGACTTTCTTATATGCTATGCATCCATATCTTAGGCCCCTTTCACATGAAGCGGAATCCACTGTCTCAGCAGAGGATCTGTCCACTGATCCTTCGTTGAGCATGCTCTGCTCTATGGGCGACCAAATGTAAATGGACTTGCTGTTTGTTTACATCTGACTGCCCTCCAATCCGATTCATCCAGATGGAGGGGAATTGGCATCCTCCACAGAGGAGAATGGAGGGTTCAAGTGGGTGCACCTGAAAAATGGACAGGCAGACCAATCATGTAAAAAGGGGCCTTACTGTGATTTTTTTTTTCTCCACTGTAGCAAATTGAACAATGTTTAGTGATGTTGTTTTGCCTTCTTTTGGATCATGTTAGATTCAATATAAAATGTTTTTTGCTGTATTTATTTATTTTGTTCTATCAGTTGTATTCAGCCTGACTGTTTAACTCTGTAACTACTGTATGATTGAGCCACAAAGACATTGCTGAAAATAGTCCATGTTTGTGCAGCTTTCATAATCTGTTTTTGTATTATGCAGGCCATAGACGGGCCGTTTATCGGCCGAATTTTCCAGCATGACTGCTAAAAATAAATGAGGAGATCCGCAAAAAATGGCCGACAAGCTGGCCCCACTAACAGCGTGAATATCGGCTGATTTTTCATGCGAACGAAAAATCGGCCAATAAACGACCCTTCTATGGCCTGCATAAGTCTCTATTCACACTAGGGCATTTTTGCGGCTCAACACCTGACGCTCAACAAGCAAAATCCAATTCATTTCCATGGCCCTTGTTCACATATAAGTGTTTTGTCACCTATAGCAAAACGCCCATTGATCAAAAAAGAACTTGTGCTACTTTTCAGGCAGATCTGGGCGTTTTGTCCCCATAGACGTGAATGGAAAATGCCTGACCAGTGGGAATGAGCATTTTATCAGGCGTTTTATCAAGTGTTTTTTCAGGTGTTTTCAGCTCAAACAGCAGCTATTTGTATTTATATTGGCAACAGCAAAAACACCTAAATGAAAAATGCCTGAAAAAAATGCCTATAATATTTGCAAATCTGCTTAAAAACACTCAAAGACGACTGAAAAAAACGCTTGAAAATACACCTGAAAAATGTTCAGCTCAGTGCGAATGGAGCCTTATTCTTATTCAGTCTTGCATTATTTATTCTAACTTTTCGTCTGTGTAGTAAACTGCAAGTTACAGTTACTCTCGGTCTGATCATTTGGCCCATTACCCATCCTGCTAGAGATATTATGCAACAACTGACTTCTGCACTGCATATGTGTTTGAAATGATACAAAGATGAATTATTTAAGACCATAATGTGTCCAAACAAAGTAAAAATAGCGGTAGAATCAGCTACATGCTATAAATGACCGAGGAATTGCAGGTTGCACAACTGAAATTGTCTGTTTAGACTGGACTGGACTCCTGTCTCTCGCTTTCTTTCTCACCGCCCCTAACAGTTCCAGTTCTAAAAATCACATCATTTCTGTCTTAAAGTGGAACTTCTCTCTCTCAAACCACATGGACTATTTTTAAGCCTTATGCTGCCAACATTAGTATATAGATAGGAAAGTATATCATATTTAGTCTTCAGTCTAGACTCATACACCTTACCAACCGATCAGCGACTGCTACCCCTCTCTGCCAATCCCCCCACTGGCTTCCACTAACCCATCGTATAAAATTCAAAATACTAACCACAGCTTACAAAGCCACCACCACACTGCCCCTAGCTACATCACCAACCTCATCCACAGATATCACCCAAATTGCCCACTCCGCTCCTCCCATGATATCCTCCTCTCTAGCTCCCTCATCACCTCCTCCCACGCTCGCCTCCAGGACTTCTCCAGAGCCTCTCCCATCCTCTGGAACTCCCTACCACAGCATGTCCGGTCAGCCCCCACCCTGCCCCTTTAGGAGATCTTTGAAAACTCACTTCTTCCGGGAAGCCTACCCCACCTCCACCTAAGAACTGTACTTGAATCACCTCCACCAGATCATCCCCCGCAGCTATCACCTTTTGTATCACCTCCCCCTTCCTTTAGATTGTAAGCTCCGCGAGCAGGGCCCTCATATTCCTTCTGTACTGAAATGTATTGTAATTGTACTGTCTCCCTTATATTGTAAAGTGCTGCGCAAACTGTTGGCGCTATATAAATCCTGTATAATAATAATAATCATATTTACTTGTTTTAAATTTTAGTTTTACTGTAGTGGGGCCATTGTCTTTCCCTTTTAAGACTGCATGCTGTCAGAAAGGGTTTGATTGGCTCAGCTCTCAGCAGTGCTGCAGAGTTTGTGGGAGTTGCAGTTTCATCACAGAGGCAGACATTGTAACCGTATGCTGCAGAGGACTACAGGGACCAGGATGCTTTGCAAGGAGGAGAGTTGGGGAGCTATGTGAGCCTTTGGAGAGGACATGTGGGAGCTAGTCTGCAGCCTCTACTGTTGAAGTACACTGACACTGTTTCCAGATTGGCAGTGGTTGCTAAGGACAGCGGTTATCTACAGCAGCTAAAGTCAGCGGCAACTGTGATCATTGGTACCAGTCACCAGCGATGGCAGTTACCGACAGCAATGACATCTCCCACCGCAGAGAGAGAGGTCAGAGTGTTGGAAATC